TTCTAGGAGCTCCTGTAAAGTTGATCCCAGAAATCATTAGTGTTGGAACAATTTGAATTTTTCTTAAAATAGTTCAATTATAGCTGGTGTCGACTCGAAGATATTTTGCCTTATTCAATTCATGATTGGATTTTGTGTATGAAAAAATATCTTCACCCTTAATGGACTCATTTAACAATTTTTTTTCATTTCATTATTTGAAAGTTTATGTTTCAAATAGTACATCTGCAAAAAATCTGAATTTTAACTCTTTATCTTCCCCCTCAAATTAATAGTTGAATGTGGCGTTCACCGAAACGGGGCGTGGTCAAGGTTGACGTCACATCAGTTGATTAGGTGACAAGGGAGTGCTGGCGGATAAGCGAAATACATGTGCTAAAGCCGTAGAAAGCAAGTTGTGTGTTGTTTATTGCAGTTTGTCAACTGCGTGAATATGAATAGTGATAAAATGGGACGTTACAAGTATTGCATCGTTCCTAAATGCAAGAATTCTTCGGTAATAATTCTTCGGCCTTATTCCGCATATATTTGATCGCCAGATCAAATTGATAGACCGACGGCCCATACATCTTAAGCTCCACTGTTTGTTCAAAAAAAAGGAAAAACAAATTTTGTTAAATACTTGTAACGAAGATATCGCTGAAATGTCTGATAAAGCAGGTACACAGGAAAAGACCTTTGATGTTGGAATTCAAGTTAATAAACAGGTTTTTCGAATATCAAAAGCTACACAGATCGTAAATATTATATACCACCGAAAAAAAATCATTCTAAAGAAATAGAAAATACAGAAAGTATTGGAAAAAATTATGAAAGTTCCCCCGAGGACAGCGCAAATTCGAGTACATCAGACATTACTTCTGTTGATACATCATCAGATTCTACTTTGTCTGGAATATTTGTTCAAAACTGGAATTCGAAAAACAATATTTAGCGAAGATCTATTTACGTCATGGAGAAAATTCCGAAATTATATCTTGGAATCACAAGGGACTCTTTATTTATTATAGAACTTTTGTCTCAAAAATGCCAGTTACCCAGAATTGATATATACATTACTTTACATATACATTACTCACTAGGTATATATGAATAAGCCACAAACCACAGCGGCCCTCAAAGCCAACATAACCCATGTCATCGGTCAAATTCAGCCGGATTTATGAGCCAGAGTCATGGAAAATTGGACGTTTCGGATGCGTTCCACTCAGAGCGCATTTGTTATATTAAACTCCCGATCCCATCACAGACACTAATTAAAGATTCAGTAATTTCTGGAGGCGGTAAGATTTTCAATCACTTAACAAAACACATTAAAGAAATAAGTTCAGTAGAACATTTCAGAAAGGAAGTAAAAGCTCTTCAGTTGGATAAACCCTATTATAGTTTACAAGAATTTTAAAATGACGCATTCTAACTGAAGCTTGTTTTGATATGTTGTAAGATGTTTTTCATGTGCTAGATTTTATATATTGTTGTAGGTATGAGACATTCTAGTTTACCTAATGTCGGTGTCGACTTATTGTTCGTTTCTTTCTGTGTGTGTATTTTACTATACCTTAATTTGAGATTGTTTTAGGCATTAACTCTGTCAACAAGATTTTGTACCTTTGAACAATAAAGCATATTCTTTCTCTCTCTTTCTCTATTCAAATTTGAAGATAGGAAGCGCTTAATGGAAGACCCTATATATTCAGTTATAATTAGATGAGCGTTAACTTACCGTCCAATGCAAGCTGCATTCCACTGCCACATTCATCACGACATTCTTTAACTGAAACAGCTTCGTTCGTTCTTGTAGTTTTTCCCAAACCACAAATTTCGCAAGAGAAAGATCCTTCGTTGGGTTGATAGAATCCGTGTCCGCAGCTGCGACATAAACCAGCATCATGATCATAGTATTTTCCAGCTGGGCAACGCTCTGGAAAAAAATATTTGTATGACAATATCTTCGACACAAAGGAAATAATCGTTCAATTATTTCTATTTGTTGAAAGAGTACCTTTGCAATCAGCAGCACTTCGAGCTCCAAGTCCAACTGTTACTCCTGGTCTGCCAGCAATAACAGGACATTGTATACACTGTAGCTGTCCAGATTCGCTCTGATAGAATCCTTGAGCGCAAGAAATACAGGTCTTTGTATCTTTGTTGTAGTAGGATCCGATGGAACAAGGAACTGAAAATCATAATTAGATATATTTGCCGAAACTAGTTTTTTATCAATGCGTTTCTATAATGACCATACCTATACAGTGTGTGAAAGTCAAATGGAATAAATTCATTATTTCGATTACTGTACATATTTTTAAAAAATCCCGAAACGCGTCAAATGTAAATTATAATTTAACATTATTCAACGTAAAAATAACAATCCTAGCTTCAACCCCCTTCGAATGACAGGTACAACCCAAATTTTTTTGAATAGAAAGTATAGGTTTGTAATATATCATTTAAAAGGTATCTTCATTCTCTATTTAAAAATGTTATCGCTTTTAAATTTATTGCAACAAATGAGATAAAATATATTTAAAAAAACTAAAATGTAATGCAAAACGTAATGAAATGTAGAATACGAAAAAGAACTATAGATGTTAACGAAGTAAATGTTCAAAATGTTCACCGCGAACGTCTTGGCAACATCCCAATATCAAGTAACATATCAGGCGTGAGCGACCTAATCGCAAGCGTAATTCGTTCTTTCAAGTCATTCAAATCTGCCCTTTACATATCCCCATAAAAAGAAATCTAATGATGAAAGATCAGGTGATCACGCTGGCCATTCAATCGATCCTCGCCCTTCCTATTCACCGATTGGGAAATGATGTATCGAGGTATTGCCGGACATTAACTTGGTAATGTGGTGGTGCTCCATCCTGCTGAAACCATTTCGTATTCACTGGAACTTGAGGGTTTCTTGGATCAGGATATAAATTTGCTAAACTTGGAATGACATCATTTTGAAGTAGTGCCAAATAATTATCGCTATTCAAGTTGCCCTCACTCAGTATCTGTTATCAAATATATTGGATCTTCTTTGGGAAAATGTCGAAGAAGATTCATAGATTTGAACAAAAACACTGAACTAGAATAACATCTTTAAGTATGTCTCAATGACTAGAATCAGGTTGAACGTAAATAGTGATAGTAAATAGAAATTTTATTTGTTCAAGTCTAGTTTGACTTTCTGCTACATTAACGCAATATATTGTATATTCGTGAAATGGGTCTAGGCTAACTAGATATCAAATACATCCTCATATTAACTGAGAGTTGTGAGTACTTTACTAGTGAGCACTTTCAATCCCTTACATACATTTTTGAGTATTTTGATTCCTTTTCAACATAGTTAGGGAGATATTCTTACCGCAATCTGGTGCCATAACAACTTGACCAGAAGGACAAGCGTAATCGGATTGAAGTACCAACGACGACGGATCTGGTACAGTGTTTGGCAGAATGTCTCGTACATCGAATTGATCTTCTTCCAGTATCAACTTCTCTAGTAGGGCTTTCACAGAAGATCTCTCATTCGTGTTGGAGTGTACTACTGGATCACTAATAACCAAAAAACACAAATTCATGACAGCACCCGGATTAGTCGATATTTGATAATTATCATGGAGCGTAAAAGGGCTACAAAAATAGATTAATGATAACTTCATTATAGGTTCTCAATATCCTGTGCTGAATGAGTATTATAAAGGAGTTCTAATAGAAAAAAGAGATAATTGTAAACTACACANGCCATAACAAGCATTTTGTTCCTATTAAAATCAGACTTTAATAGCAGGAACTTCACACAGAGAGTTGATTCTAGTGAATTTTCGACTCTTCAGCTGTTGAATCCTATCGCTGAGCGAAACTCTTCTAGAGAAAAAGTCTACTAAAGGTTGAGCGTTCAGTAATGATGCTAAAAATTGTTCAACTGTGATGTACCATTGGATTTCAGTTTTTGGGGTGTGTGGATTTCCATTTTTATCGGGGGACTGAAAAAATATATTCACTGTACCTTAATATATGAAGTAATTTTTTTTATTAAGAAATGAAGTACATTTGAATTATGTGTGAATTTTCCAGGCATGAAATGATAATGGCAGCAGTTATATCGTTTCTGACAACTCAATTTTTAATTCTGAAATTTGAGTGATGAGTTTTCAGTTGTTGAATTTACACTTAACTCAGCTTTGAATGCTTTGTTTTAAACTTATAATCAATTAGAAACCAAATAATTATTTCAAAACTGAAAGAAAGTAACATAATTTCCTGTCTAATTAGATATTCAAATTGAATATTGTCATGATGTAAATTCAATAGTTAGGAAGGCAAGGAGTGGTAGGTTATGGAAAAAATATAACGGATCTGGAATAGAAAAATATGAGTAATAGAAAAGTATATGAAACCATTCAATAGTTGTAATCATATGACTTCCATTTCTGTACAGAATTCTGAAGTGGTATGACTCGTTTTGCTTCAAATAATTTGATTCAAATATATAAACATGAACTTTT